AAGGTAACTGGATACTTGAGTCTGATGCTCAGGGGAGCTGTCTAGTCTGGGGACAGTGATCTGAGAATCATCATATAAAAGGGGGACCACAACAATGCATGAACCAATCAATGGGAACAATAAAAGAAGCAGAAAGGATGCAAAGGAATACCAATGTTTAAAGGTCAAGCTAGTCCGGCTGATGTGGCTCAGTGGTTGAGTGTCAGCCCAGGCACCAAGAGGTTGCTGGTTCAATTCCCGGTCAGGACACATGCCCAGGTTGTGGGCCTGATCCCCAGTGGGGGGCATGCAGAAGGCAGCCAATCGATGTTCTCTCTCATGAATGTTTCTATATCTCTTTCCCTCTCACTTCATCTCTCTCTAAAAATCAATAAAGGAAAAAAATTTAAAAAATAAAAATAAAGGTCAAGCTAATGACAAAAGGTCCACAATGGAGACTGAGAAGGGACAACTAGAGAGGTAGGAAGAAAACCAGGAAAGGAGATGCTTCCATTAGATTCAGCGGTTAGACGTCACTGGTGACCTAGACAAGGACTCATCTAGCAGAGGGCTGAACCACATTGCTGTGGACTGAGGAGGAGGTGGGAGTTGAGAAGATGGAGATAGCATAAAGATAATCCACTCTGGAAGTTTGGAGGGGAATGGGAAGGAAGTGAAAAAGGAGTAATGAAAAATGTAAAGGGAGAGTTGAGGGAGGATGTGTTTTTGCAGGATGAGGAGACTGGCATGTTTATAGTACTTAGAAGAAAGGGGAAGGATGCAGGATGGAGTAGTGTCCATGTGGGGCTGGAGGAGCAGCTGGGAGAAGTAAGGAGGTGAGTGGGTTTAGAATAGTGTTTTTCACATTTTAATGTGCATTAGAATCATATATCTCAAATCTCCCCTCTGTTCTCCATCTCCATAGCCACTACCCTGGTCCAAGTTTAAGGCCCCTATACTTCCTTCAGATGCTCAACCTTGTGGTGTAGGTTTGGTTGTGAAGAGGCCAGCAGGGGGCTCACTGAACAACAGAGAACAGAATGGGCCAGTGGCCTCTGTGAAGTCAGAAGTACAGGCAGAGGGAGTCAGGAGATGGGCATGCTATACCTTTAGGATGCTTGAGGTTGGGATGTCAGAGGGGGTTGTTCAAGGCCCCAGAGAGGATGGCTGGGGTCATGATGAAGGTCACTGAGGAGGTCAAGGAAGAGCATTGGAGGGTCATTCACATGGATGAGCAGGACCTGAGCACAGATTACCTGATGGAAATCTGGTAACCCAATTCTGATGGATGGAGGTGGGCGACAGGGAGGGAGACACATCAGGTGATGACAAGGGGTGGCAGAGTAGAGCCAGGTGGCAGGAGTCTCAAGAAGAATAAAATGATACATGCACATAGGAAAAACCTTCCAAACGTGAATGGTGAATGGTGATTTTCTGTGAGGGCAGAGAGGACTGTGGGTAGTTCTGATATTTTCTTTTATAGTTTCCTGTTTGTCCATCAAGTTTTCTACAATGAGCTTTTTTTTTTTAGAAATGTAAAAGATAGACAAAAATACAAAGAATAATAAACACCTTCATTCACACCATCTAGAGTTTGTCATTGAAACAAAAGTCCCCTTTAACTGCCTCCTTTCCTCAGACAAGCATGATCAGTTGGCTTTCAGATTTGTATACATGTATACATATACCTAAGTTAGAACACAGTTGGTTTGTGTGTGATTGTTTTATTTATGTGGAGGGACTGTTCTTTTTTTTTTTTTTTATCCTCACCCGAGGACATTTTTCCATTTTTTTGTTCAGGTAGAGTGGGAGGGAGAGAGAGGAACAGAGAGAGAGAGAGAAACATTGATGTGAAAGGAACACATCGAGTGGCTGCCACCCACACAAGCAACCAGGGCCGGGGACAAACTGCAACCGAGGTACATGCCCTTAGCGGGAACCGAACCCGGGTCTCTCAGGACCGCAGGCCGACGCTCTAACCGCTGAGCCAAACCAGCCAGGGCGGGACTGTTCTTGTAATCGGCGGCTGGGGGGCTTTTTTTTTTTCTTTATTGATATTAGAGAGAGAGAGAGAGGAAGAGAGAGAAAGAAACATCGATGAGAGAGAACATCGACTGGCTGCCTCCTGCATGCCCCCACTGGGGGTGGGGCCCACAACCCCGGCATGTGCCCTGACCGGGAATCAAACCAGCGACCTCTTGATGCATGGATTGACGCTCAACCACGGAGCCACACCGGCTGGCCTGGGGGGCGGAGGGGCTTTTTTAAGGTGAGGAGTGGTTGCACAGAGACAGAAGCCTGAATTGCCATACCCAGCTGAGCAGCCCTGGGAAGACCCAGCCTCCAATTTAGTGCCACACCTGGTTGTTAAATGTTCCAGGAAGAGAGAGAATTACTGCTTGTATTTCTCTGGCTAGGTTTCAACCCGCTCTCATATCCCTCAAGTAAGTTATGCCTCAGAAATCTGGGAAGCCGGAAAGATAATCACTATCCCTATTTTACAGACGGAGAAACTGAGGCCCAGGGAATGACAGAGAGCTGCCAGCATGTCACAGTGAGTAGGTGGAGGACAAGTAACTAGAGCTCTGGCTTGGGGTTCTTCCTGGAACCTAAAGCCCGTGTGTGGAGGGGTGGGGCAGAGGCAAGTGACACTGGGTGGCTCGGACTAATGGACTTTGACCAATTGGCAATAAGGAAGAGAAACAGCCATAACTTCAGGCTGCTGAGGCTGGGCCTTGGCAAGGAAACTGTGTCTGGGGAGAAACAGGTGGGCAGTTCTCCCTCCTCAGAGGCCCCAGAAAGCAGGCTGTGACTCGCCACTGTCCCCAACCACACTAGAAGTCAGGGCTCCTTCTCAGGCCTCATTCAAGTCTCAGCTCTACCACTGATACATGCTGTGTGATCTTTGAAGAGCTCCTTATTTTCTGCCTCAATTTTCTCATCTGTAAAATGGGGCGATAATCTTCCACTTTCAGTATTGTTCCAAGGATAAAAAGAGAGAATCCTGCCCAGCCACTGTGGCTCAGTGGTTGAGTGTCAAACTATACACCAAGAAGTCACTGGTTCAATTCCCAGTCAGGGCACATGCCGAGGTTGTGGGCCCAATCCTCAGTGGGGGGCATGCAGGAGGCGGCCAATCAATGTACTCTCTCATTGATGTTTCTATCTCTCCCTCTCCCTTCCTCTCACTCTAAAATCAATAAGGAAAAAAGAATCCTCATCTATGTGTCTTAAAGCAGAGACATTTAAAAGGTCAGATCCTCAACCTGATTCCACAAGGCCCCAGATGGGCTCAGTGTCAAGGGGACTAACTGACACTGAGTATCTGGTGGAGAAGCCACATGCATATACACACATGAGATTTAAAATCAGCTTTGCAGTGACGAAAGGTGCTCTCCAGGGTGGCCTTTGTCATCCATAAAGTTGTTGGTGGAGTAAGGGCAGGGTAGTGGTTATGAGGGGGCCTTTTCTTCCTTTCTTACAAAAGCAAGACATGAATAAATACTTATCGTAAGACTTCAGTAATATAGCCATGTGTAAAACAAAAAAACCAAAGCCTTCCCCTTGCTCTCCTCTAGCCATACCTCTCTCGGTTGTCATTTTAGTGCTATTGCTTGCTATTAGAAACAGCTCGTCCGTAAACATCATTAAAGGCACGTGTATCTTTGTACTCTTTGGTGTGTAGGGTAAAGACCTAGAAATGGAATTGCTGAGTCACAAATACAAGTGTTCGACCATTTACCATATAGATGAGTCCTGCCCAATTACCCTACCTGTTAAAAGGCTATCCACATGGATGGACATCAACATTCAGGTGCCAGCCCCCTGGCTTGAGGAACAGTACCCACCTTGCCTTTTACCTTACACGTTTTTCTTCCTGCCCTGCACCTGTCATGCGTTGTCGCCCTTCAGACAGCACATGACAGGGAAGCATGTCTGCTGAGAGGTTACTAGACCAGTCTGCCTGGCTGTGATGGTCTGCTGATGTCACAGGGGGCTTCCAGCCTAGTTCCAGGTGGCTCCACTCCATCCTGTGGTGGTAATGCGCTCCATTAACACTGCAGAGGCTCTGCGTGTGCTGACCCAGGCACCCACACACAGTACGTGCCACAGGCACGGATACAGTTGTGGAGAAAGGCACACATTTAGTGGACATCTGGTGTGTCAGGCTCCAGCTCAGCACCCAGATGAGGTGAAGGGTGCACACGCTGAAGAACACAGGCACGGAGGTCTGGGTGGGAATCCCACCACTTCCAGCTGAGCACTCTGGCAAGTCCACTTCTGGGCGCTGAGGATGGCACAAGGGAGGGCACAAGTCCATGCTGGCGCACTAAAGGGCTCAGTAACCAATAGCCAGGATTAGTAAAACCATTCTGTGCTCCTGCCATGTCTACACTTTGTAAAGATACTCTAGAGAGTTTTCAATGCATTTTCTTATTTTATCTCACCACGATCTTAGGGGGCAGAAATTATTATCCCTGATTTCCCAGTGAGGTAACAGAGACCCCCAAGGCAGTTTGTAAAGCTCAGGCCAGGAACCGGAGATAAAGCAATTTGCCTGCGGTCACGCAGCAAGTTAAGGACAGACCCTGGTTCCCCAGGCACTGCCCTCCCCCCACCCCTGTGGATTCCCGCCCTGGGGACTTCCGTCCGGGGCCCACTAGGTCACAATAACCCGGCTAATGTGCATACGACCCCCGCCTCTCCCCACTGCCTAGCTCCTTTGAACTTCAGTTTCCATCTGTAAAATGGGCCTCACTGAAGTGGGGGTGGGCTAGGAGTGTGCGGGACGGCCTGGTGCCAGCCAGGATCCAGGCTGGCGCGGAGGGTGGGGCCAGCGCTGTGACTCAGCCGGGCGGGCCAGGAAGGGCTGCCCAGCCGGTCTAACTGGCCCGGGATCCAAGCGAGCCGCCAGGGCCCTCCAGGGGCAGGGCGCCCGGGGGGTGACGGGAAGGAAGGCCGGGCCGGTGCCGGGAGCCCGGGCTCGGGGTGGGAAGTAGGCGCGGCGGCGGCTGCGGGGGCGCTTGGCGGCCGACGACCAGGATGGGAGCAGAGCCCCCAGGCCACCCGCAGCCTCTGGAGCCCCACTGAGCCGGCCGCGGAGACCCCGCGCGGGAGCCGAGATGTGTCTGCGCCTTGGTGAGCCAGGGGTGCACCCCAGGAGACCCGAACCCACCCGACTCTGCCGGCAGGGGCAGAGCACTGTGGTGGGAGCCCGGAACCCCGAGGTCCAGGCCGCCTTCTTTGCAGAACACTTTCCTCTCGCCCCAGTTTCGCCAGCAGTGATGTGTAGGGAGGAGGGCTGCTGGTGTCTTCTCCATGCCTCCCGGCCCCTCTTCCCCACTTGCCTTTCTTGAGGATGTGGGACCCCAGGCCAGGGAAGAACCGGTAGAGAGCAGCCCCCACCTCGCTTACAAGGTAAAGCAGAGGAGCGGGAGTTCAGGGCCAGGGAGTTCTGAGCCAGGGAGTTCTGAGCCAGAGGCTGGCTGTCTTGGTCTTGCACCTTTGCTTCCATACTCTCCACTCCCCAACCAGGCAGAGAGGGGAGAACCACTGGCAAACAGGTCCAGACGAGGAGTGGGATGGATGTGTCCTCTCCCCTCGCCCTCTCTGCTCAGTGGTGCTGCTCTTGGGCATCAGACAAACCTAGGGAGTCCCAGACCTTGTAAGCCTCAGTTTCCTCATCTGTAAAATGGGTGTGGTGGCCCCTCCCCCTTAGGACTACCATGAGGATAAGGTTAGCTCTAAGAATGAAGTGCTTACTGTGGTGCCAACCCCACTGCTAAGTGCTCCAAGAATGGTGACTTAGAAACAAAGAAGCCAGAGACTGCCCTCAGACCCGTCCAGCGCTCCAAGCACAGCCCCATGCTGGAACCGTGCCTCCAGTTTGACCAAAGTCTTGGGCCTGGGATGCTGTTGTTTATGAGCCCAGCCAGCCCTGAGCGGGGTGGTGTCTGGGTTGCCGGGTAGGTGGGTGGATGGGGTGAGGTGGGCCAGGCCCCTGCAACAAAGCTGCAGTGCCCCTTCCTGTTTGGCCAGCAGTTAATCTTCACGATGCCATTCCAGTTCCACATGCCTGTCCAGCCTGCATCTGCCCTCTGATTCTCTTCCCTCTGCTCCAGCTCCAGCTCCAGAGGGTCCTGTAGGCTCGGGTTCTCAGAACAGCCAGATCAGACCCTCCCCATTTTACACGGGAGGAACTGGCCTCAGAAAGGAGAGGTGCTGCTACGGGTCACACAGGGTGTCTGTGACTGGATGGCCCCATCCCTCTCTGATTCCTGGGAACTGCCTCTTGGTACAGGGTCCCCAAGAACATTCAATCTAGTGATTTCTTTTTTTTTTTTTAGCTGCAAAGCTCCCATATATGAACTCTGATCCACAGATGGGGAGACTGCAGTCTAGAAAGGGACTCAGTCAGTTCCCACCAGGTGCAGCTAGAGGCAGAAGGAGCTGTTTAGTTCTGGGGACCTGGCCTTCCAGTGTCACAGAGCTGGCTAGAGGAAGGGGCCGCCAGGGCCAGGGGACCAGCACAGTGTGTGTCTCCAAGGGTAGAGCCAGGACCCATGGGGGACATTCCAGAGAACAGATCTGGAACAGCCTAGGGTGCCCACGCAAGAGGGCTCCCTGCACCTGGGGTTGTGCAGACAGAGGCTGGACAGCCATTTGGCTGCAGGGAAATTGCTTGAGTCCCTGATGTTCTTTGGACCCCAGCCCCCAACACACCATCACTTGCCCTCTCCCTGCCCAGTGCCCCTAGACTAAGGACTTGTTTGTCCCAGAACCCCCAGGGTATACCCCACTTTCCTATCCATCTCCCCAGGGTATGTCCATCCTTTCCCACTAGGAGACAAGGTTTTTTTCTTTCCATTTCATAGATGGGTAAATAGAGACTCAGAGGCTTGAGCTTCTTGCCCTGAGTCACCCACCTCTAGGCACTTCAGTTCAGCAGTTGTGAGCTCAGTATCTACTGTGTGCCACACCCTTTCTCCCAGACTGAATCCTGAGCAGGACCTATCCCTTCCTGATGAACTAGGGGCTCCTTGAGGCCTGGACCGTGACTATCAAGCTCACCATGGTAGCTCAGGGCCTGGCACAGAGCAGGCACTCGGTGAACATTTGTGTAATGAACACATGAATAAATAAAGCAGTGAATGGGAGCTGAGGGGAAGGATTATGGGTCTGGAGCTAGAGACCCAGGTTCAAATCCTAGCCCTGCCACTCATGATCTGGAGCATTAACAAGGACTACCACCCTTTATTAATTACCACCTGTATGCTTTTCCAACCTTAGAATTCCAAGTACTCTCATGAAGACATTGTGAACCCCTTTTGCAGATGAGGAAATTGAGGCTCAGAGAAGACAAGTTAATAATCCCGAGTTCTCCAGAAATGTTTAGAACTCCAACCATGGCCTCAGTTGTCTCCTCTGCCCGGCAGAATGAAACCCACCCATGGCCTGACACAGCTATCCCCACAGGTGGCCTGAGTGTGGGTGACTTCCGGAAGGTGCTGATGAAGACGGGGCTGGTGCTGGTGGTTCTGGGTCACGTGAGCTTCATCGCGGCAGCTTTACTCCATGGTACTGTGCTGCGCTACGTGGCTGCCCCCCACGACACTGTGGCTCTGCAGTACTGCGTGGTCAACATCCTCTCTGTCACTTCCGCCATTGTGGTATGACCAGGCGGGGGAGAGGGGGGTGGCTGGAGGGGGCTTGAAAGGTCTTGAATGAGTCTCCACCCAGAGCCTGGGATGGGCAAGTAGAGAGCCTGAGCACTAACCACTGCTCTACCACTTACCAACTGCAGGAGCCACTCAACCTCTCTTTGCCTCCGCTTCCTCATCTGTAAAGTGAGGATCATTAACAGTGTCCGCCTCAGAGGGTCCTGAGGAGTGCTGAATGAGATCATCCACATAAAGCACTTGGCACAGTGTCTGGCACATGCTCAGGGCTCACTATTGCGAGCTGGGATTGTTATTGTAATAGGGAAATAGCGAGGCGCTGTTGGATGGAAGGAAGGAGCATCAGCTCAGTTTGGGAGGGTTCAGGCGGGTTCACAGAGAGAGGCCCATGAGCTGGGTACTGATGGGTGAGTAGGGATTCAAAGACAAGCTGTAATCCCCATAACCCAGGTATGTGGCATGCTGGGGCCCACTGGTGGTAGAGGAAGCGGGGATAGCATTCCAGTATGGAGAATGGCAGACGCAAAGGTATGGAGGTGGGAATGGCTGCGATCTGTTCTGGAGACACTGAAAAAAACAATTTATCAGCAGCTTAGGATTAGGCTTGGTCTACAGTAAGTACTGAATAAATGGTAGCCATGGTTATGGCTGGATGTCAGTACCTGTTTGATGAGTACATGAATAAAGGAGCCAGTATTCTCAAGTCCATAAAGTTCTTTCCCACCTAGTTACAGAGGTGGCCGCTGCACACCCATGTCTGAGTTCCTTCCCTGCCACCTCCTGGCTGAGGGACTTATTTCTCTCTCTAAGCCTGTTCCCTCCTCTGCCTGTTGGGCAAGGCTTGGATGAAGAAGCATCTCAGGCCCCAGCAACCAGGAGCGCCTCAGTCAGTGGGACAGGGTGTGTCATGCAGATGTGTGTGCTGTCCTTTGGAGTTGCTATGACTGTTGTTTGTTCCTCTCACCAGCCTGGATAGAAGGCAGGGAAGGCAGGGAGCTCAAGGTTAGGAGGTCCGCTGGGGATGTGCTCCAGGCTGGACCACTTCTGCTTTATTCTCATTTCCTCATTTAATTCTCAATGTTCACAGCAACATGGGGCCATTATCATCCCTACAAGGGAAACCGAGACTCAGGGACTCAGCGGTGAGTGTCCGCTCGCGGACCAAACGGGTTCGATTCCGGACAAGGGCACGTACCTCGGTTGCGGTTCAGGTTCAGACCCTGGCCCTGGTCAGGGATGTGCAGGCAGCAACCAATTGACATGTCTCTCACACGTCGATGTTTCTCTCTCTCTCTCTCTCTCCCACTCTATCTGAAGATAAAAATAGAAAAAGTTATCCTTGATGAGGATTTTAAAAAACAAAGAAGCCAGGCTGGATTTGAAATGATTGTGTGTGACACCAAAGCCAGTGTCTTTTCCATAAGCTCATCTTGCAGAACAGGACTTAGCCCAGAGAAGTTAAGGCACCTACTCTAGCTGCACAGTGAATTAAAGATGTTGCTGGGTTCCTGTCGCACCACCTGCCTCCTATGGGTGCAGCCCATACCTGATATAGTGAGGGAGCTCAGAGGGGAAGCCTGGCTGAATGGAGCCCAAAAGGTCCAGGGGGCAGCTGATGGGTTAGATAGCCACCTCTTAGGGCTGAGGGTGGTTAGGGGATCCTGCAGGAAGAACCCAAGCAGGTGAAGAGAAGCAGGAAGGGTGTTCCTGAAGGGCACTGTGGGCAGCTTCATGAGCAGGCTGTGTGTGGGTGTCCACATCCAGGGCAATGAAGGAAGAGTCTGGCCAAGGGGGGTTGAGAAGCTGATGGGACTAAGGCCAGGTCACTGAGAGCCTGAGCTAATTTACTCCTAAGATTTTTAATTCTACTCCATAAATTGTCCTGATTTGTGTATTTTGTTTTTAGTTCCTTGTCAGTCGAGTTACTTAGTTTCTTCCAAAAATCTCTTCCACTCCAGGAGGCAAATCATATATATCCTGGTACATCCCCTGCAGCCCTGGGATACACAGGTCCTGTTTGAGATACACAGCTTTAGGCAGTGGGGAGTCATGGAAGGTTGTAGTCAGGAAGTGATTGTGTTTTAGAGACATCACTCCGGGGCTGGACCATGAGGAGGCAGTACCTCCGTGCAGACCAAGGCTAAGTCACGGTGGAGGAGGTGGCTTGGAGGGCTCCAGTTGGCATTGGTGGAATCCCTATCCGAGAGTGGCCCTGACCCTCACTGCCCACTGTCCTCCAGCAGGAGGGTCAGAGCTGACTTGAGCCTCCCCACAGGTCATCACCTCCGGCACTACAGCCATCGTGTTGTCACGCTACCTCCCCAGCATCCCCCTGGTATGTGGCACCTCCTGGGATGGGGCTGAGGGGTAAGAAGGGCCTGCCTGATTGGAGGGGGTGAGCTGACCCCATGGGGGCCAGAGCTGCCCATGGGGTCGAGCCTGACATCCACTGACCAGTGGCCTCTCCTATCCAGCGCTGGGCAGTGTTTAGCTCAAGTGTGGCCTGTGCCTTTCTCTCTCTGACCTGTGCTCTCGGCCTCTTGGCCTCGATCGCCGTGACCTTTGCCACCCAGGGACGGGCACTGCTGGCTGCCTGCACTTTTAGGAGCCCTGAACTACTGGCGCTGGCGCCTGACTGTCCCTTCGACCCCACACGCATTTATGTGAGTGCTCAGGCCTGGGTTGGGGCGGGGGTCATCCAGTGCTCATGAGGTGGGAAGGGTTCTTGGGATCCTGCCTTCCACCCCCAACCCCTGCAGCTATCTCTGCCCTCTGTGTCCCTGCAGAGCTCCAGCCTGTGCCTCTGGGGTATCTCACTTGTGTTCTGCGTGGCAGAGAGTGTGTTTGCTGTACGATGCGCCAGGCTCATCCACCAGCTGCTGGAACTGAGGCCCTGGTGGGGGAAAAGCAGCCACCACATGGTAAGGCCTGCCACCCCCTCCATAGCCTTGACTCTCCCAATTTTCTGGGAGCCCCTGCTGGGCAGCCCCCATCCCTCTGCATGGGGCTTCCATTTGAGAACTGGGGCAATAGTTTTCTCTCCAGAACCAAAGGAAGAAGCTAGGAGGCTCAGAGAGGTCAGATCTCCCAGTTAAGTCACACAGCTGACACCTGGTTCACCCAAGGCCCAGGATCCGAGGGAGGGGGAAGGTTATCTGGGCTTGAATTGGGGGCACTCCAAGGGTATAGCCCGGCTCTTGCCTGGTGGAGGATGCAGTGATGCCCCTTTGCTTCAGAGATCCTCCCATTTCCCTGGGTGTCCTGGAGGAGGAGACCCAGACCCAGATCCCACAGCCTGGCAGCCTTTTGTGTCTCCACAGATGCAGGAGAGCCCAGAGGCCATGGAGGGCCATGACCTGATGAGCTGCCCCAGCTCTGTGTCGCTGACCCTCTGACAGCTGATGCCTCACCCAGACCCCATGGCCAGTGGGGCCCTGCAACCAAGTCGGGCCAGGATTCCTGGAGCTGGCCCATGAGGGCTCAATGTCCATTCAGGAACCTGGGTGGGGATTTTAAACTCCACCCCCAACCACCCAACCCACTGCACTGAAACAAGACTTTATTCTGAAGTTATTAAAAAGAACAGAGATGCTCCACAGCGATGCATGCAGCGGGGAGGGGCTCGGCCGGGAGGCCTGTGCTTTCCCACCCATGATGCAGGGGGGGGGGGGGGCTCAAGCCCTGTCGGCCCATCTCTGTGGGCCTGTGTGTGTGTGTCTGAGGGATGCAAAAACATAGAGGGGCCTGTGGGTCTGTCTGTGTTCATCCAAGTGCTGAAAGGCAGGTGGGCGTTCGTGGGACTCACAACTGGGTGCGGAATTGGGAGGTTTCCTTTTGCAGCGTGGCCTCAAGGCCAACAAATGCTGGAGCGGGAAGGGTCTAGGCCCTCCTGCAGGGAAAGATGGCTCAAGGAAGCCCCCCCCCATCACCCCAATCCTTCTCTCCCCACCAAATAAAAGGACTAGCTCCTCACCTGGGCTTGGTCTCCCCCTAGCCTCCACCCAGGCTGAGATCTACAAGGGTGGGAGTGGGGTAGCTTGCCTCGTGATGGGGGAGGGAAGTCTGGCCTCCTGGCTGTGCGTGTTGGCGGGGAGAGGGGATGGTTGAAATTCTGCTATCTAGGTAGGGGAAGACCGACTCTGAGGGGAGGACCAAGCCAGAGCCCCTGTCTCCCTCTCATTGCCCAAGGGAGATAGGGCCTCTTGGGTTGGGGGGTGCTAACCGCTTGCCTGGGCCTTGGGGGGACTGCAGGGTTCCATGTTCCATAGGCTCCCCGCAGAGCGCAGCCCCCGAGGGAAGGCTCAGCCTGAACCCAGCCTGGATAGACACAAGGGAGAGGAAGCTGAGAGCCGGGAGAGGACCAGTGAAGACAGGGAGGAGGGGGACCTGGCTCCTCTCGCTCAGAACTGGGAGGCGCTGCTGGGGTCGCACTGCAGCAGACGCACGATGGACGGGTCGCTTTTGGCCCCGCGGATGAACTCCTCCAGGGACAGCTTACCTGCAGGGCGAGGGGAACAGTGACCGGGGCGAAGGCGGCGGTGAAGCGCAGGGAGGCGGAGCAGAGCGGCGGGAGGGGAAGGGGAGTGGGGCCCCCCCCAGCCCCGCCCCTGCCCCTCACCGTCGTTGTTCGTGTCCATCTGGCGGAAGATTTTCTCAGTCCTCTTTTCCGGGGTCGACTCGTCCTCCGGCATCTTCATCACAGACGAAACCATCTTGTAAATGGCCTGGGGGTCGGGAGGGGAAGGCAGGGAATGAGAGGGGGCTGCCTGAGCTCCGCACCCCATCCTTCAAACGCCCCCAGGTACGCCGACGATTGTGGCTCCCGCCAGGGTGAGGTGGAGAGGCGGAGGGAAGCGGGGGATCCAAGGAGTGCCATGGAAGGTTTCCCAGAGGAGAGGCTGTTGGAGTTGCCCCTGACCAAGTTCCCTGGCAGCGCTAGGTGGGAAAGGAATTGCTGATCTGCGTATACGAAGGCCCCACAGCGGGAAACTCTGAGTGGGCGCGGAAAACTGGGGGGTGGCTGAGTGCAGGGGGTGAATAGAGATGTTGGAAGACATCGGGGTCGTAGGTTCCGAGGTAAGTACGGGGTTAGCGGGCTTCTCGGAAACTCCAGGCGGCCAGCGCACGGTGACCCACCGAGGGAGTTGAGCTGAGGTTAGCACTGAGCTGCAGTGCTACTGTGGGCCGATAGGGGGCGCGGGCCGCACTGAGGGCTGAAAGGCCCGAGACTGCCGGGTCCAGAGGGGGCGGGGAATGTTATGCAAATAAACGCAAATAAGCATCTGCCGGGGTGGGGACAACCTGGGCTCTACAGGGCCCACGGCTGCAGTCGCCAGGTGCAGGAGCTCCGGAGGCGGCACGAAGGAGGGTTTTTGCGCTAAATGTACACAGAGAACGTGGGGCTTGGCCAGTGGGATAGGCTGGGTCCTGGAGCTCAAGGACCAGACCGATCCTCTCAATCTTTCAGCTTTTTGCTTCTGAAACCGCCTCCAAGAAACCTGCTTCCCTTCTCCCATACCATAAATGTACCCCGCCTCAGATCCGGCTTTAGCCTCCACACTGGTCTCTTCCAGCCTCATTTTCATGGGTCTGTCCCCCACGCCGCCTCTGAAAGCTCTTTCTAAACACAGATTTCCACCACCACGTCCACAGCCCAGCGGGCCGCCCCCTCCACACAGCCCGCCCTCCAGACCTGCCAGGCACTCAGTTCCTTCTGGATGCTGCCCCACGCTTCTTCTGCTGCCTCCCGCTCCTCCCTGTGGCTCAGTTTACATGGCGCTTTCTTAGGGAGTCCTTCTCTGATCCAAGCTGGGTCAGGGCCCATATGCTAGCACAGAACCTCCTGGGCTTTTCCTCTGGGGACACCTCTCTGGAAGTAATTACGCCTTTGTTGGATTGTCCCTAGTCCCCAACATACAAATGAGGATAATGGACATCTAGTTAGTGCCTATATCCCCAGAACTTAGCACAGTGCCTGGCATCGGGCAGGAACTTCCCTTTGAAAGCCATTGGCACCTTCCACTGATCTCTGTACCAAGTCCAAACCTCTTGGCCCCTGGCACTCAAAGTTTTCACATTCTGGTCCCTCTGAGCCCTACGCTATCAGTCCTTTCTGGTAGGTGATTCTGCCACAACTAAACACCCCTGCACCTTTCAAGTTTCCTGGCATTTACAGCCTCTGCCTAGAACAGTAATACTAGCTACCATTTATTAGGCACCTACTGTGTGTCAGGTACTTTACATGCATTATTTCTAAACCTCACAACAGCCCTGAAAAGTATGTATCATGATTCTCATTTTCCAGATAAGAAATAGAGGTTCAGAAAGGGAACTGATGGCAGAGACTAGATTAGAACTCACTCCCTCTTGGAGTGGTGATGAGCAGAAGGGGCTTTGAAATAAGGTGGACGTGGAGTGGGATCCTAGTTCCAGTAATTACTTCCTGTATAGCTTTGGACAAGTACTTAACCTCTGTGAGCCTCAGTTTCCTCTTCTGTAAAATGGGGGCAATCATATCTCCCTCATGAGGATATTGTCTAGCAGATTAAATGAGATAATGTGTGTAGAACAGTGACTGGCTAGAGTAAGTAGTCCATAAATAGCAGCTTGTATAATAATTATTACTCATCCACCACATCCTCAGTTCTTCCCCAACCTTCAGTCCCCTGAACTCCCAGGTGTCATATATATACCTCTGTCACCAAGCTGGTCAGTGTGGCCTGCCAACCAGAGTGGGAGCCCCAAGCAGCCAAGGTGTAGTTTCTCCCCTTTTAGTGTGCTCACCTCCTGGCCACAAGGCAGGGTCTTGAGAAGGATTGAGCCAGTGACTTAGTGAATGTTCCCCTTGTGACAACTCAACTCATGGGCCTCCTAATTAATTGTCTGGAATTGCTGCTCACTCATTGTTTCACTGGAGCCAACTTGTAATTAATCAGCCACTGCGTTTTGCAGAGCTCAGTCTGCACTCGCCGTCTGGGACTGACTGATGGGCTGTGGTAAGGGAAACCAGGCCCCAGACAGCAGCGGCCAGCCAGGGGTTCCCGAGGATGCCCAAGGAATGGGACTGGCTGGCACCTCCAGCAGGGCTGAAATTTACCAGTATATACCAGTGCAACCACACTAAGTGGTAAAACATGATCACCCCTCCACACTGGTTGGTATCCAGTTGCTGCCCAATCCCTGAGTAATCCTCCACCACCCTGGCTACCCCAATCCTTCCAGCAGAACCCCCAGCACTCCCTGCTACCCATCAACTAGAGATTCAATGCCTGGCCCAAGGGAGTCATTGACAAACATAAAGGCTTTCCCCTCGTGACAGGCATAGAGAGGGCACCACATCGCAAGGCAGCCCATTCTACTCTAGCTGGAGGGAGTAGATCCAGACCCTTAGTGACAGAGAAGCCAAAGAGTCCGTAGGGGCTAGATGAGTTGGAAGTGGGGAGCAATCAGCAGAGCTGAGGGATAAAAAGAGGAAGGGTTCAGAGAGACAGAAGGAAAGGGAGCAAGAGCTGCGCAGAGCTGGGCAGACGGTTACTCAGGGTACATTCCAAGGATGTTGAAAAGGCCATTCTGGCAAGAGCAAAGAATGTGCCGGGGAGAGAATAACAACAGTTACCAAGTACCCGTTACATGCTGGGCTGCCAGAGTGCCTATCCCACTTTATATCTATAGTAGCCTTGAGAGTTAACATCCTCACTTTACAGGTGAAAAAATAAAAGTTCAAGAAAATAGTGAACAAGGAACTGGATAGGTAGAAATAGAACCAGAGCCTTGATGGTCTTTAATGCTGGACTGAGGGGATGGATACTCTAGAAGCTTTTTGAGGTAAAGCTAACATGTCATGCTTAAATTTGTATTAAAATGGTATTCATATCAGGTCCTTAAATCTCCCTGTATGATCAGAATCACCATCCCTCTTTTTCAGGTAAGCAATCTAAGAGTTAAGGCCAAGAGGCAGCTCTGAGTGGTGCTTGAGCTTCACCCCACTTATATGCTGTGTGACCTTGAACAAGTCACTTCACCTCTCTGAGCCTCTTGAGGTTGTTGTAAAGATGCACTGAGATCATGGCTATAAGCATCTCACTCAGCATGAGGCTCTTAGTGGGCCTTCAATTAATTAGTTGGAATGTGGCTGAGTATCCAGATGGAATGTGGACCATGAATCCAGGTGGCCCACTCACAGGCTGTGTGGCCGCGAGCAAATGTCTTTACCTCTCTGAGCATTTGTTTTCTCTTGAGTAAATGAGGATCAATAAAACATAACTGACCTGCACTCTGCAGAAATGTCAAATCTTGAAAGACAAAGACTGAGGAACTGTTACAGACAAAACGGGACTAAAGAGACATGAAAACAAAATGCAATGCGTGATCTTAGATCAGGGCAAAAAGAACATTATGAAGACATTTGGCAGAACTGGAATATGATCTCTAAGTTAGATAATAGCATTGTTTCTATGTTGAATGTCCTGACTTTGATAATCATATTATAGATTATGTAAGAGAATGTCCTTGTTCTTAGGAAATATATCCTGATGTATTCAGGGGTAAAGGGTCAGAACAACAAAACACACACACACACACACACACATAATGATAAAGCAAAAGCGGTCAGTGTTGATCGGTGAATCTGGGTAAAGGGTATACCAGGGTTTACTTAACTTTTCTTTAAATTAGAAAGTATTTCCTAATAAAGAGTTTTTTAAATAGGCTGTAAGAATAGCACCTGCCACTGCCTACGTAGCCACAAGGGCTGTCAAGAGGATAAAAAGGGATGGTGCGTGCAAGCTGCTGGGCCCTGCACCTGGCATTCGCAGGGGCCCAGGGGCCCACCTGCACAATCTCGAGCATCTCCTCACGGCTGATGTAGCCGTTGCCGTCCAGGTCATACATGCTGAAGGCCCACATGAGCTTCTGCTCCAGGCGGCCACGTGAGGTCACACTCAGCGCGATGATGAACTCCCGGAAGTCGATGGTGCCGTCGCTGTTGGTGTCGAAGGTGCGGAAGACGTGCTCAGCGAACTTGGAGGCGTCACCGTAGGGGAAGAAGTTGGCGTAGATCTTCTTGAACTCGTCCACGTTGAGGATGCCTGTGGGGCAGTCCTTGAGGAAGCCCTTGTACCACTCCTGCAGCTCCAGCTCCGAGAACTCCGTGTTCTCCCGCAGGTCCTGCAGCATCTCGGGCCGCAGCTTGCTGTTCTGCTTGCCCATGGCCACCGAGCTGAGTCTTACCTGGGTCCCCAAGAGAGTCAAGGGATGGAGAGGAGAGGTCAGGCCCTCCTGGTCCCTTGACACCACTCCAGGAGGGCCCCCAGACACTAGCCACCCCAGCCTTTCTTTTGATCCAGTGAGAGAGAGGATGTGGCCCAAGGTCATGCAGCCCACACCCAGGCATCCTGCCTCTGTGACAGGCTCCACGCCATTTCCCCAGACCTTACACTTCCCCAAGGAAAGGCCTGAAGACAGAGGAAGGGAAGGGGCTTACATTTACCAAGGCTCTTCTCAAGGCCAGCCACTGAGCCTTCACAGATATACACCATTTCACCCTCACAAAATGAAGCCTGGGGATTAGACCCATTTTACCGACTAGAAGACAGGATCAAGGAAGTGAGGTGACCTGGTTCAAGTTATACAGCCATGGGGTGACAGGACTGACTCCCAGAGTTGCCTAGGGAGGCGCAGAAAGGCCTTCTGGCCCTCCTCCCTCCCACCCACTGCCCCCTCATTGTCTCACATATGCCTGATTACCACGAACTACCCCTGCAGCCCATTCATTGGCCTGTTCTCCCACACACTTGTGCCTGACAGGAGGTTGCATAAGGTAGATTTTGGCCTGGGCTCCAGAGTCAGACCACCTGAGTTTCTTTTCTTTCTTTCTGTTTTTTAAAATATGTTTTTATTGATTTCTAGATAGAGAGGAAGGGAGAGGGAGAGAGAGAGAAACATTGATGAAAGAGAAACATTGATAGGCTGCCTCCTGCACGCTCCCTACTGGGGGTGGAGCCCACAACCCCGGGATGTGCCCTGACCAGGAATCGACCTGTAACCTCTCGGTGCATGGGACAACACTCAATCCACTGAGCCACACTGGCCCGGCCAGACCACCTGGGTTTAAATCCCAGCTCTGCCTCTTACCAGCTATGTGACCTTGGTCAATTTCCTTAAACTCTTTCTGCCTCATCTGTAAAGTGGGGATAATAGTACCTACCTCATTATTGTTGTGGAATTAAATTAGTTAATACATGTGAAGCATTTATAATGATGCCTGCATATATAAGTGTTACATAAGTGTTAAATAAATAAAAATTATTTGCATGTATTAGATGCCACAAGACTCATGCACAACAATGCACAAAGAAATACATACTGACACACGCTACACAGCTCACCAAATCCACATGGGTGTCCCATGTCACTCACACACCAGCCCACACCCACCCATGGGTCACCATGCCTTCACACACGGCAACATTCTCTTTGCTCTACAACTTACATGTACGGACACAGGCACCACACACGCAGAACTCCCATACCCTGTGCATCAAGACACACCAGCCCACGACCCCACATGTCTTACACATGTCATCATAAGCCAACTCCCATGCTGACACTTCTCACATGACCAGCTGCATGTGGGACCCTCAGGCACACTTGCTGTCTTTCTCTTCCCAGGGGTGCTGCTAGGTCCCAGGAAAGGGAGCTGCAGCCCTTCTTAGACCTACAAGGGGTCCCTATTCCAGGAAGACCTACAGCCAGCCAACTCATCCCCAACACTTACCTTTCCTGTAGTCTAGAAAGGTCCCCTCAGTGCAGAAGCTTAGAGTGTGGAGGGCTAAGGGGGCGGCAAGGAGAGAACAGCCAAGCAGTTCTGAGCAATGATATGGGATGTGTGCTGGTGAATCTTCCCCAGCTTGGGGCTGTGAGGGTGAGAGGGTTCCTTGTGTGTACATTTGCACAAAGCTCTGTGCATATGTGGGTGAGCATGTGTGTGAGTGCATGTGCTCATGCATGCATGTGTCCCTGGTTTCAGCATTGCATTTGTCTCCCTACGTGTTTCAATACATATCTATGCATGTGCATATCTGTGCATGTGACTAGGTATGCACCCATCACAGTATGAGGGGGATGTGCCTGTGTGGCCATTGGGGACCTGTGCATGTTCTCAGCAGTGTCTCATATGCATGTTTCTTTAAGTTGGTCACCCTTCTTTCTAAATCAGCCTCTTCTGCCCCAAGCTGAGAACCCACAGAACAAGTGTGTGGGAGGGGACTGAGGAAATGTGTGGGGCTGGGGTAACAGAGTGTGTCCCTTAGTCCCTTCCTCAAGGTCCAAGGAACTGGGTCATCAGGGCGGGGGTAGAAAGATGCACCGGGCAAGAGAGATCTTCCAGTGCCCCTTCTTCCCTGCCACCCTCAGAGTTGCCCCTCCCGGTTGGAAGACTTGGAACTGAGGGTGGTTGAAGATTCCGCTGTCTTGCAAAGACCCCCTAGTCATCAAAGTGAGAAGAACACACAGCTTGACCTGAGAAACCTGCCTGGGAGACCCTCCCTGAACCTCTCCCTACCTCTAGCCCTGAGCCCCCGCCTCAATCAATCCTTCCAGCACCCGAAGAGCGCGGGGTGAGTGGCCCCTCCTGGAGGAGGCGCTCTGAGGCGGACGAAGCAAGACTCCTCCGGGCTGGCCACTCGGAGGTCAGGACCCTGGAGAGCTCCGCGCGTTTTCTCGGTGGAGCCCCCACTCCCTGCGCACCGCGAGGGAGGATTCCCGGGAGGCGCGGGAGCGACGGGGTTGGAGAGCCCTGGACGTGGCCCTCTCCCTTCGGCATGCCCCCTCCCCGCATCCCCCAGCCCCGGCCAGAGCGGCCCCCACTCACCCAGCGACGCGGAGACACCGACTGCGCAGGGACGACGGTGCTGCTGCGGCGCGCGGCGACAGAGGCGGCTGGAGGGGCGGGCGGGGGGCGGGGGGAGGGACTGCGAGGGAGACGCCCCGCAGCGTTCGCTTCGAGTTCCTCCCCTGGAGGGGTCCGGGTTCCTCCCTTTCCCCTCCAGCCCTGGGGGTGGGGGGAGCGATGAACTAGGCTCCGCCCCGCCCCTGCCCGGGAGAGGGAAGGGGACGTCTTCACTTCCCCGCCCCCCTCACGAGGGAGCACCTGCCGGGCTTGGAGGATCGGGGTCCCATCTCTTTAGCATCTCAGCTCAGGTAGCCTGAATGGGGTGGCCGGAGGTCAGTGCCCAGACATTCCTTTCCTAAGCCAGGCAGCCCCCTCCCTTCTCCTACCCCCTCCCCCCACCCCGCCCCCCGGGCCGCTTCAGTGCCTTTCTTCCCCATCCCTACCAGGCTGCGGAGCTGCACGTCGAATCTGGGTCCTGTGGTGCGGTAATTGCCCTCGCTGACCCCGCGCCTCAATTCCGGAACTGAGCTGAGGTTCTTGGGAGAGGGGGCCGCGCCCACTTTAGCAGTCCTTGAGGTCTTCCAGGGCTAGGCACGCCCTCTACCCCACCTCCGCCTTACAGAGCAGAGCACACCCCCATCCCCTGCCCGCCACTCCGGATCTTACTCGGGAGACCCCTCTCAGAAGGAATCCCACCTCCCAACATTGATCTAAAGTGCTCTCCCACTCACTGCTCCCCCATCAAGGAAACCCCTGCCCCCCTCTCAGCCTCTGCCTGTGAAGGCTGGGGAGCATCGATCTCCAGCCTGGGGGCTTCTGAGGTGCATGGGCCCAACCTCAGCAACAATCCTCATATCCTGAGCTCGAATGTTGTCCTTCCTCCATCTCTAGGAGGTGGTCCTTAGTGTTCCCACTTCACAGATGAGGAAACAGGTTCAAATGGGGTTAAATGATTGTCTCAGTGTCTGACAGCTAGTGAGTTGAATCCCTGTGCCCTCAGCCATTCATTGCACATATTTATCAAGCATTAGTTCTGTGCCCTGCACTGTTCTCAGCAGTGGGGTTACAGGAGTGGACAGTAAATAATGGACACAATATATAAGTCAAATCTATAGCGGGTTAGATAAGTGTTAAATTGAGATCGGCGTGCAGAGGTTGGGATGGAGGCAGTGCTTCATGCCAAGGACTTTAGGTTTTATTCCAGGTGACATGGGAAATTCTTGGGGCTTTGAGCAGAGTGAGAGGGTCTGACTCCCAGGTAAAGTTTACTCAGGCATTCTGTCAACAGACTTTGAGGACTGGGGGCTACCGTGGGAGCAAGGGGCCAACTCAGGGTGAGAGATGACCAGGGTGGCATAGATGGAGCTGGCTTCCGGAGGTACTTTGAAGGTGGGCGGACTGCATCTGTCTTCGGACTGGACAGCTCCTCCCAATTCTGTGGCAGCAGCTGGGGCCCTCCTGGCTCCCCAGGGCTTAGACCAAATCTCCATCTCCAGGTTCCCAGACCAAGCTGATCAGGTGGTCAAAGTCTCCTTAAGTCCCTCCTGCTTGAGGGCCAGCAGGGAGGGGAGGTCTCAAGCAGAGGAGCTGGGGAGCCAGCCTGTGGAAGACGAAGGGCAGCCGGGCCCCAGAACACCAGTTCCTCTGTGTGCCTTGGCGCTGCTGTTGGGACCCCTGGTGGAGGCGTGAGAGACGCCAGACATGCGTGGGTGGTTCCCAGCTGCCTCCTGCGTGAGGACCTGGGAGTGGGGAGAGACTTACTGCTCAGCCCCTCCTCAGGCCCCTTGAGTGACAAGCTCTCTCCCACTAGGCCAGGAGGGCCTACTGTACTGGGGCAGGGAGAGGGGCCGCCCTGCCTCACTGCCTCAGGCCGTCCTCCTCCTCCCCCTTTTTCTCCCGCCTGCCTGAAGCCAGAATCTCCCCAGTCTGCTCTAGATCCTCTTCCCCATCAGATGGGTCTCAGTTTACCCTCACATGGCCTGCTCTGCCACTCTGCATCCTCCCTCTTCCCTGCCCCAGCTTCATCTTGCCCAGGCTGACTCCGCAGCTCAGCCCCTCAGGCACCTACTTCTCTTAGCCCCATTGTTCTCCTGAGGGTGATTGCAGCCCTGCCCTCAGGACCCCCAGTCTACATCCTGCCTCCCCATCTGGAGCTCCTGAAGGCAGGACCGTGGCTTTTCCTCACCCTGTGTACCCCATCTCCCTCCCTTTGACTGTCCCTGCACCTCAAATGAGTAGGTAGATCTGGAGGCAGAGTTTGGGCCCTGGTAGGTGCAGCTGGTTATCTCCCAGCAGCCGCCTCTCCCCTCCCAGGGGCCTAAGAAGCTCTGGCATACACAGATGAGGCCCCAGCGGCCCTGGAACCCTGCCGATGTGCCTTCTATGAAGGCCTTTTGCAGGGGTGGGGATGGGGGTGTCTTTTCTGATGATGCTTAGCTCCCTCCCACCCCAGACTGAGGCATCTAGGAGGGAGAAGAGGCTCGTCTTAGGGTAGATGTAGAGGGTGGTTGTGAAGAGAACTGAGCGGTGGGCATGGTCCGTGGGAGACAGAAGAGAGGGCAGGTCCAGAGGAGGGCACCTCCCAGCATCTGACCAGTGTGGTGAGGGGTGGCTACCCTCCCCTAGCCCTAAAGAGGAACAGACCAGCCCCCAGGATGCCAGAGAGAGAAGCAGGGGGGGATGAGTGGAGAGAGGACCCCTTAGCTCTGAGCACTTACTGTATGCAGAGTGCTTTGTGTTACCTCATTTGATCGGCACTAATCGTGAGGAATCACTAGTATCACTGCCATTTTACAGATGTGGAGACTGAGGCTCCTGAGAAGTGAAATCACCTGTCTAAGGTAATACTGCAAGAAAGTAACAGTGTCTGCATTTGAATCCAGGTCTGTCTGACTCAGGAGCCCAGGCTCCCCCTAGAAGCCTCTCAGTGAGGTAGATGGAGGTAGCCCCTCCTCATCCCCTCAGAGGTCCAGCCCCCACCCTCCCTCTTTGGTCCCAAATGGTTTGGAAAATCCTGATGGGAGCAGATGGTGGGGACAGATGGAGGGAAAAGCATCTCGGGGCTGAATTACAAAAACAAACACTGATAAAGTGATTAAAGCCTCCAGCCATCCTTTTCCAAAGGGCCCCGCCTGCCCCAGCCTGGAACACAGTGGGCCCTGTGGTAGGACCTGGGGTCTCCGGGATGCCTGGCATCTTAGCCCAACTGATCCCAGCTTCTGCCCACCCCCCGCCGCCGGGGACCACCCCCGGACCAGAGCCCAGGTGGTACAGCTGCCAGGAGCACAGCCTGGGCCTGGCTGTTCCCAAGGAAGCTGGGCCAGGAGGAACAGAAGGGGGCGGGGGCGGGCGTGCTGGGAAAGTCCCGGGAGCCGGGACTGCAGACCTGAATTTCAGGGTGAGAGGGGCCTTGTGATGGAGCTGGGGTCCCTTGGGTGAATCTTGTTTATAGACGGGGCTCAGAGCTGCTGTGCCTGCCCAGGTCACACAGCGGCCCTGTAGCTCCCACGGAAGGGCGCAGACCCTGACCCACCACCCACTCCCATGGTGGAGACGGGCAAGGCCCTGGAAATTCAGTTGGTTCCTTCATCTGTAACATGGAAAGGATAATAAAAGCCCCCCGCCAAGGGTTGTTGTGAAGGAAGATTAAGTGAGAGAAAACCTGTGAAGTTCGACACAGGGCCTGCATACAGTCTGAGGGATCAGGAAGGTGGTTGGAGATGGTCTCTCTACAGAACAGAAGTTTGGGCTCGAAGATTCTGCTTGCAGAGTCCCAGGAGCTGCCGGGCTCTGAGCAGAGGGAGGGATGCGATGCCCCCAGGAAGAGCACTGATCCCCAAGAAAGCAGCTGATCTCTCTGCCAAGCCAAGATTCCAAGAGAGAACAGGGCTGCATCGTTGCTGGTCCCTCTGTATGAGAGTACAGGCTTTATAGGACACGGACCCAGGTTAAGATCCTGGGGCAGCTTCTTCCCAGCTTTGCAGACACAGGCAAAAACAACCCCTCTGACCCTCTGTCTCCTTCTCAATCAAGTCCGCATTTCCAGCTGCTTCCTGGACTTGTTCCCAGAAGCCCACAGTCACGTTGGACCAAATCCAGTCAATATCCAACTCATCACCTCCCACCCCAGCCTGCCCTGTGCCTGGATCCTCCTCCATCCATCAGTCAAGCCCAAGCCTCCACCCAATCCGGGTCCGTCACCTCCACACCCGCCTCTTTCCCCAGTCAGCCCTTTTTGCTAGAGGATGTCTCTCAGGCCTGCCCTGTTCTCCCCCCACCACCTCCCCTGCCCCTCTGCCTTGTCAGATGGCCCTGTACTGCCACTCTGGCCCCCCCACCTTCTGCGTCTCTAAATCAAGTCCCTTCTTCTCTGCTTAATAACCTTCGATGGATCCCCAGTGCCTACCAGAGTAAGTGGACAGTTGAGGCTCTCGATGACATGTCCTACCCCACACCTCCCACCTCAGTCTTACCCTCCACCTTCCCTTAAGCTCCCCACCAGCCCAGCACCTCCCTCGACCAGATGGCCAGGATCTCTCCAACACTGGAAAGGGGGATCTGGGGCCAAGGCTGGGGAAAGTGGGCTCCCTGACCCTCATATCCTTGCGTATGGCTTTTAAATTGGAGCGGGTAGTACGTGATGCAGGCAGCCGGAGTCATGTCTGAGCCAACCCTTGCCTGCAACAAGAATCCCTCTTCCCTCTGCTGGTGAAAGCAACTCTTAGCTGGAAGGGCCTCTGGCTCAGCCAGAGAGGGATAGTGACTTGCCTGAGGTCGCCCAGCCAGGCTCACTCTTTTATCCCTTCCCCTAATCAGAAGTGACCACTCCGCAGCTCGTCTGACAGATAGGCATTTGGATCTTTCTTTCACAGACCCATTGCTGGGGGGTTCGCTCCTGTCTGTCCTGGTCTGTCTCTGACCGGTTACAATCTTTCCTGGGTTCACAGCAAATGGAAGTGGAACAAAGGGCAGGAGGCTGAGTGTTTACTTGTAACTTTATTTTTTTTAAATATATTTT